AAAAATAAAAATATTTTCAATAATATCACTGCATTTCCTTACGTGTCATGGCTACTCAGAATGTCGTATTCAACCACTTTTTCCTTTCATCCAGTATAACTTTTTCATACATGAACCTTAAGAATATCAGGTTTTCCTTTTACCCAATGCAACTTTCACATGTGAAACTTGAGAATATCATTGATAGGTTGTTTAGGCAAAGTATTTGAAACTTAGATTCATTGAGAATATTAGATTTTTCTTTTACCCAGTGTAACATTTCATATATGACCATTGAGAATATCAGGTTTTCCTTTGACCCGACATAACTTTTCACATGTGAAACTTGAGAATATCAGATTTTTCTTTTACTCAGTATAACATTTCATATATGAATCTTGAAAATATTAGGTTTTCATTTTACCCAACATAACTTTTCACATGTGAAACTTGAGAATATCAGATTTTTCTTTTACTCAGTATAACATTTCATATATGAATCTTGAAAATATTAGGTTTTCATTTTACCCAGGATAAACTGTTGATAATACAGTCTTGAAAATTCCAAGTGTTTTTTTTATTTTTTTTCCCAACATGTCTTTCTTACATATATTCTAGTTATACAAATATGGGTAAATAATAAAACAAAACTTTTACAAAATAATGCCTTCTTCCTCCAAACAGGCAATCTCTAGACGTATTAGAGAAAATCAGAACATCGATCTATTTAATTGATATATATTTTTTATTCATCTTATCATACGGATGACTAGAACTAACTTCGAGCTTACCACTAACATAGGCTCTGTTCAAAATATTTAGTTGATGTTAATAAAAGCTCGCGTAGTTAACTTGACGTTTATTAACTCGACTTAATGACGTTTTCACTAATAGAGCTACGAGAGAGGGGGGTCTACATTTTTACTATAACATCAGTAATGTTTGTAGAAAATGGCACTGCCCTCTAATTTGTTATTGTCTGGTGTTTAAACAAATCATTCCTTCCGGTTTGATTAATCAGTGCCTGCTCTGCCTGAGACACTGAGAGAAATCATTCCTTCCGGTTTGATTAATCAGTGCCTGCTCTGCCTGAGACACTGAGAGAAGCTAAAGAAAACAGTGACGTGTATATTGTTCCTGAAATTCATATGTGTTATCAAACTGGAAACTTGATATGGTATGAACTATAGAAAACTGTAACATATCACTAATGTGCAGAGTAATTAGCGTAGAATTTGAATAATTGATCAAATTTCCATTATAAGCGAATCACGAAATATGTGCTTATAAATCAGTATAAAAGAGTACATGCTTTAGAAAAAGCTAGCCTTCTGGTTGGACTGTAGTAAGTTCATGGACTTACAATGCTAAAATCTGAGGTTCGATTCTCTGCGGTGGGCACATCAGAGAGACAAACATGGCTTTGCTTTAAAACAAACAAACAAAAAGATAGATTATCCAACTTTTAGAATATTTCAGGCCAATTTGGTCTAAAATAGTATAGCATAATCTCAATTGTCTGGATGTTTTCAATCCAAGGTTATTCCAGTCCAACAGATCTTACTGGATATTCTCAAACTAGATGATCTTATAAAAAGTGCATAAGAAACAATATTTATAAACTACCAACTATCGATACCTTATATAGTTATTAATATTAACTTCAGATCAAAACTAAAAATCAGACCTGTATTGGGTGTAGCTAATTAAGTATACTTTCTTACGTTATTACTCATAATGATTACAATTCATTAACAATGGTTTTGGCTTGACCTTTCTCTGCCGTCACTGTTTTAACAAAATTTCTTTTATTCTGGTGTACATACGTTCATTGAACCGGGCGTGCTTTATCTGGCTGCCACCATGGTCTGGTAAGGCTTAAGACCTGGTTCAGTCTATTACTTTTCTCCAACAAAATGCATGAAAGGAAATTATTATTTTGATAGTAATATAATTGGCTATATATAATTATGTTATAATTACTGGTCATGATCAAGGTTTGGAGTTTTTACGGTGACTAAATACTTAGGTTTTATTCATTACTAGTACCTAAATCTATCGTATATTAACAATAATAGTATTAAGTACCTACATCTATTGAATACCAACAATATATATAGTTATATTAAACACCTAAATGTATCTTATATAAGCAATAGTAGTATTAAGTACCTACAACTATCGAATACCAAAATAGGTGTATTAAGCAAGCACCGTGATTTATCGTATATTAACAATAGTAGTATTAAGTACCTACATCTATTGAGTACCAACAATATATATAGTTATATTAAACACCTAGATCTATCGTACATTAACAATAGTAGTATTAAACACCTAGATATATCGTACATTAACAATAGTAGTATTAAGTACCTTCATCTATTGAATACCAACAATAGTTATGTATGCTCCTCATACGACATCATATTACAGAATTATTTTAATCGTTGGTGTAAGTTGTCTGTAATTAATACCGCTCTCATCCTCCATAATGAAGTTAGATAATATTATTTTCGTTCCCATTGACATTTTTGCTTTGTTTTTGAGTCCAAGAAATATAAACTTCACTAACTTAGCGAAACAGTGAGTGATAAATGATATTATATTGGTGCTGACAATTCTGAGAATTCACTTAAATTTGCAGACATCTAAGTGAGCACAAAAACAAATAAACACTGAAATAAATTAGTATGTTCATATTGAACTTTAGCAATATGTGAAATTGTCTCTCGGGCTTAGATCTACGCTAATACCATTAGTGTAACTTTCTCTAATTTCTAACAATTTGATAAACAACTGCTCGGAAGAAGTGCTGAGTTATTTGAAAAATGTTTTAACACAAGTTGGAACAACGAATATCTTGGTCGATTCGAATTATTAAAACCTAATCCAACCATTATTCTTAAAAGTCACTTTCTACTTAATAATCTTTATGTACGTTATTAAGACTAATTACATTTCCACACTGCCAACAAAGCAACTGGGATTTCCCTGGAATTAATGGCTGAACACAAAGCTTCCATGTGGCAAAACAATGGATAAGACAACGTACTAAACAGAGCTCTTAAACATTTTGTGGAAGTTGTAACCATTTTATAGTCTATAAATTACAGTACCTTATAATTTCATGAACGAATAGGATTGTCATCATCAGTGTAAAAAAAAAAAAAAAAGGTCAGTCTAGTCACCGGAAAGAAGTTATTTCACGCCAAAAAGTATACCGTTTCTTAGATAGAGTCTATAAAATATATTACTTTATAGTAAACCTAAATGTTTCAGCAGGAAATTGTATATTTTTACAGTTACTGTAACTCGAAGAGTTGTATATGAAACCGCTAAGAGGTGCTAATATCATTAGTTCTATATGCAATAAATAAGCAAGATAATTAATTAACAACTTAATTAGTTAGTTAAGCAATTAGATACATAATTACACAGGCCTGCAATGATTTTATTGTCTTGAAAGTTTTACATGTTCTACAGTAATTCCTGTACGCTGAATCCAAAAATGATATCAATTTTTCTCCATCTCGTGCAGACTTTTCACAAAACGTCATATGTACTTTTACAAATGTGAATAATTTTCATTGAAATTGGGTCACATTTTGTTATGCTTAAAATGTTGACAACCACTCTCTACAGATGTCTCCAGACCAATCGCGACGTGAAAGTCTTATCGATCGTTCTAGAACCTACTAGAAACACACTGCCAGTATATAAACGGTTAACAGGCCGCATGAAGTGTCATTTCTGGATAGCATTTTGTGCGTGCACTTTGACATTATTTTTTTCTTTTCAATATCATTCATTCGTCGCTATGGAAACATATTCTTTTCAATTTGTGGTAAATTTGTTGTAAAGAAACAAAGTTAAAACATTACAGAATTTGTCATAAAAGTGTATTACGCGTATTTTAGAATAAAACTTGGGAACCAAGACAAATCATGGGCTGCTCATAAAATTTGCACCGTTTCTGATACAATGGACTAAAGATAAGAAAAAGTCTTTGCCTTTTGGAATTCCAATGGTCTGGTGTGAGCCTAGAAACCACGGAGATGACTGCAATTTTAGCTCATGTAACGTGCAAGGCTAAAATATTCGAAATAAAAAGCACCTGATGTACCTGTACCTACTCACCGAAGACTCTTGATACAGTTTCACCTGGTTCTGAATCTGATGTCAATAGAAATGATGATAAGGATTGTTTTCAACCTGAAACGTCTGATGAACCACAAATGTTCACACAGGTTAAACTTAATGATTTGGTGAGCGATTTAGGTCTTTCAAAGGATTCTTCAGAGATTTTGGGGTCCAGATATCGGGTTAAGAACTTGCTTTCTCCAGGGACATCATTTTACTGGTATACAAACCCTGAGAAAGAGTTAAAACCATACATTTCACAAGAAGATTCACTGATTTATTGCAACAATATTGAGAATTATTACCAATGCTGGGAACTGCAGTCTGTGAACCAAGTGAGGGGCGATGTTAATTGATTCCTCCAAAAGAAGTCTAAAAGGTGTTCTCCTTCACAATGGTAACATGTATTCATCAGTTACTGTTGCTCATTCGGTTCACTTGAAGGAAATGTACGAAAATCTCGAAGTTCTTCTTAATAAAGTCAAATACAATCAATATGTTTGGCTACTTTGTGGAGACTTAAAAGTTCTTTATATGTTGTTGGGTCAACAATCCGGTATCCGGTTATACAAAGTTTCCATGTTATTTTGTGTGAATGGGACAGCAGAGCACTAAATCAGCACTGGATAAAGAAGCAATGTCCACACAGAGTCAGCCTGATACCAGGATTGAAAATCAATGAACGTTAAAGTTTGGTTGACATAAAGAAATTCTTATTACCTCTACTTCACATGAAACTGGGCTTGATGAAGCAATTTGTAAAGGCCTTAGACAAAGATGGCGACTGTTTCAAGTATCTATGTGGGCAATTCCCAGCTCTTTCAGAAGCAAAACTTAAAAAAGGGATTTTTGTTGGGCCTTTCAGTAGGAAGTTGACTTCGGATGAACAGTTCGAAAGAACAATGAGAAAAGTTGAATAATATGCGTGGATTGCCTTTAAAGATGTTATTGACATATTTTTAGAAAACAACAAGGACCCAAATTACGAAAATATTGTCAATAACATGCTCGATAAATTCAAAGAGTTGGCTTGAAACTTCATTTCTTACGCTCACATATTTACTGTTACCCTGAAAATGTTCTTCACTTCTCTTCAGTTACTTTGTATTTTTGTTAACAAGCATAATAATACAAAATGTTCATTGTAATAACCGAAATAATAATTTGATCTAAGTAAGAGTTTTCTTCTTTCCTGACGTGATAGAAAAAAAAAGAATATTATTTTCGAAATCTGTGTAGCTGAATTATGGTAAATCGGTTAATAAAACCAAAACAACTTTTATGAAGTTTAAATTCGCTGGCCTGTGTTATCTCATATATTGTTAACGTGGAAAGGACTGAAAAGCGTTTTGTTGCATTTAACGTTGTTTAAACAAGAGGGAACGAGGATACGAATTTCATTCAGTCCACAAATAAAGAGGGTTTCTTAAATGTATTCTTGTATTTTTATACAAAAGCTCATAACTTGTTTCCTTCCCGATGATTAGCTACCCCTGGTAGCGCTGACTGAAAGTAGAAATTTTGAACTTTAAAACTAAACATAGATAAAAGTTAAGAGGTTTGTTTGTTGGTGCCTCGCAGTGGCTCAGCGGTAAATCTGAAGATTCATAACGCTAAAAACCGGGTTTCAATACCCGTGGTGGGCACAGCACAGCTAACTTATTATGTAGCTTTGTGTTTAACAACAAATAAACAAAATTGTTTATCTGCTTGTTGAATATCGTCTAAAGCTACTCGAGGACTGTTTGCGCTAGTTGTCTGGTCAACATCACCCACCGCTAACTCTTAAACTACTCTAATCGAATAGAGAGAGATAGCCATGATATTATAACACCTCCACGGCAATAATATTCGAACCCGCGACCTGTACATTGTCAGTCGAACGCCTTAACTATCAAGCCAGGAAACAAATCTTAACAATTGAA